AGCAAAGCACAGGGACCACGGTTCAATCCCCCAGCACCACATGCCAGCCAGCCCCGCCCCCTGGTGGGCTGAGCTGGCCACACACACACTAAATAAATAAATAAATAAAAAGAACTGTTAAAAAAAAATCATTTAAAAAAAAAAAAAAGAAAGAAATCCAGACACTTATATTTTGTTTTCTTGCTTATCTTCCTGTCCCTTGTATTGCCAGTCCCCACCACATAGTATGTGCTCAGTTAATACTCATTGAGGGAATAAATGCACAAGAAAGGAGAGGTGAACAGAGGGTAGAAAAGATTGTCAGAAGAACTGGCATTGAAGCAGGAGATTAGGGGATGGCAAATCAGCTTGACCTGTCAATCATGGAGCGCTGTCAAATCACACCCAATCACGACTAGGCAACTGGGCGTGGCTTGTCCAGTTGCCTTGTTTGTTTTTGGTCTTTTTTGATTTTACCGTATTTTTTTTGGTTGAACTGTTTTTTAGGGGAGGTTTATGTTTTGTTTTTGGTGCCAAGGACCGAACCCAGGGCTTCCAGCTTGCTAGGCAAGCATTCTACCACTGAGCCAAATCCCCAGCCCCGTGTGACTTGTCAGTTACGAGAGCTGTCAACACTTCTGCCTAGATACAAGCACAGAGCAGCTTCAAAGTCCTCAATCAAACGTTGGTATAAAAGATGGCTATCGAGCCTTCTCATCAGTACCCTCTCGTTCTTCCCTGTGTGCAGGGCACATCTTTTCTTCTCTTTTTTCTTTGCCTCTCCTTTTATTTAATAAACATTAAGCTATTATGTCCATCGGTTGTCTCCATCCAGTTCTCTGAAAGGGACGAGAGCCTAGACCCACTGAACACCACACCATCTGTCAGCAGCATCTTTGCTACGTAATTGTCACATCTTCAGAAGAGCTACAGTTGAAACTTCAGTTTCACATGTAAAATAAAGGCCCTGTATTCAAGACTGCTGCGCACATGGATACATGAAGCCAACATTTCACTGTTGTTTTTATTCCCACCATCACTATAACAGGCAGGGTAGGGGGCTGCACACAAACATTGTAAGCTCAGAACTATGAGTGGCCCCTGTCAAGGGATACCTGATTGAGGCTATCAGTTTTGTTTTTGTTTGTTTTTCTGTGTTTAGTACATAGATCTGACTAGTAGTGATCCTCCTGTTTTCAGCTTCCCAAGTGCTGGAGTTACAGGCATGCGCCACCATGCTCAGTCTCAGTCTCAGCGCCCCCAGGTTCAGCCCGCATGGCCCGCTGGGCCTGCATGCCCGCAAGCACGCCCCGCATGCCCGCAAGCACGCCCCGCATGCTGGGAGTTGAACCGGTTGAACCGGCTGCTGTGCTTTGCCCTCTGAGCTATCAGTCCAGCTATCTGTCAGGCCCTGAGGCTATCGTTTTCTTTTTTTCTTTTTGCGGAACCAGGGATTGAACTCAGGGCCTTGCTCCTGCCAGGGAAGCGCTTATTCCACTGAGCCATCTCCCTGCCCCCCCCCCCCCTTTTTTTTCTTTTTTGCAGTAGCCCGCCCATCTGAAAGATGTTTTACTAGAATACCTTTAAAAATCATCATTATTGTTCGTATTATTATTATTTATTGCAAATCTCTTTCCTTTCCTGGCCTGGCTGCCCAAGGATGCTCTTCGGGCCACTGCCCATCGGGCCTGGAGGACTCTGGGCTGGTGATTCCGGCCCTTCTGGACCGCAGGTTCCCTTCGTCCCTCCCACAAGGCCTGGACCGCCTGCGGTCTCCATGGAAACCCACCAGCCACAGGAGGGCGTGACGATGCTGAGAAAGACAGGAACGTTCAACTATCGGGTAAAAAATTTTGGGACCAGAAGAGCAAACGGAGCTTATGACTGGTTCATCTTTAATATAGGGCGGGAATAAGGCGACAGACTGCGGAGGCTGTTACTATCGCCACCAATCAAGAGTCGTGAGGGCTTTGATGGACAAGTGTAGCGGGAAGCGGTTCTGCGCCCAGGCCTTCGCCCAACCTGCTGTTGGCCATCCCGAAAAAGGGCCAATCAGGAGGTGGCGGGGGTGGGGCGAAGGGGCCGGTTGCTCCGGAAGTGGAGGGAGGGGGTGAAAATGGCGCCCAGCTCGAAATCGGAGCGGAACAGTGGGGCCGGGAGCGGCGGCGGCGGCCCCGGGGGAGCCGGGGGGAAGCGGGCAGCGGGACGGCGGCGGGAGCATGTCCTCAAGCAGTTGGAGCGGGTCAAGGTGAGGGCTGCAGCCGGGGAGGAGCTCGCTGGGACAGTGGGAGGAGGGACGCGGGAGGCGGAGGAGGGAGGGCGGGCGTTCGCGGGTGAGGGGTTGGGGGCGGGGCCCGGGAAGGGGGCAGGGGAGAGGGCAAGGGCGGGGCTGGGCCGCGAGGGGCCGCGGTAACAGGCGGGGGGCCCCAGGGAGAGGGCTGGAGGCGAGGGACCCCCAGGCCGCTGAGGAATCAGGAGGAGGGTGGCGATCCGGGTTTGGACCCAGTTTTCAAAGCCCTGCTCCCCCTGCCCCTGAGCGATGCAGTCTTCCCGCCGCCTTTGCAAAGCCCACCGGCTTAGGGCTTCTTCGAAGGCCCCTGAGCTGGGAGGTCCTCAGCTCAGGTCTCCTTTTGCATTGAATGGAAGTGTCTCTTTGGGTAGGGCCAGTTCATCCCTGATACTGGCAGTGTCTCCTCTCAGCCCCAGAGCCCGCGGATGTCTTCCTCCGACTGGTGGGGAACTGGGTGGGGGGATTTAGAGGTGGAAGTCTCCTGCTAGCAGAGCAGCAGCTGGGGCAAAACTGCTTCTTTGGGCGGGGATCAAACCTCCTCTGTGACGCCTACGGCCTGGTGAGGGCATGGCTGAGTCTCCTCCATCGGAGGAGACCTCACTAAGTAGTCAGTCTCTGCCCTTGCTCAGCCAGGAAGCTGGCTGGGTTGGGATTGTGTCTCTTCTATCAGACTGGGATGCCCCTGAGGAGAGGCAGCCCTGTCCCCTCAGGAAGCCCTCAGGAGACTGTTTCCCATTAGATCCAAGACAGGACAAGCTCCCTGTCTGCTGAAGTAGTGAGATTTAGGTGGCTATTGATACCCCAGGGTGTCCCTGGAGGGACACATCCTGCTGTGATGGCATTTTGGGGATGTAGGAGTCTGTTGGAAGGTGGCAGTTGAGAAGGGGGAGTTAAGCAGGGATTGAATGGGCTGGAGCACAATGGAGTCCCAGCTATGGCAGAGCTGGTCCAAGGAATCCCTTGTAGGCTGGGGTTTGAGACAGGTGAGAACATGACCCTGTCCCTAGCCTCCTTTGGATAAAGGACACTCACAGCATAGTGTCCCCCGGTAGCTTTCCAGCAGAGACTCAGGTAGCCCAGTATGTTCTAGGGTTTCTTTTCTTCTTCTTTTTTTTTTTTGTGGAACCGGGGATTGAACTCAGGACCTTGTGCTTGCCAGGCAAGCACTTATTCTACTGAGCTATCTCCCCGGCCCCATGTTCTAGGGTTTCTGAGGAGCCATCCTGAGGGGGGTAATGCTGGGCTTGGGCAGGAGGGACCCTGAGGCTATAGGGTGTGGGTTGCTGGTGGAGGGTTGTCTACCTGGAATCCATGTCTCCTGTATGTTCCACTTGTCCCCCCAGCCATAGCTGGGGCCATTGGGGCCATGGTGGTAGGCAGGGAACTGGCTTGTGTGCCGGGTTGGTGGCCTGGTGTGTTCTGCTGTCCCTCTCTGTGTGGTGAGGGGCTGGGAGCTGCAGGTGGCCTCCCAAGATGGGTGCCTGAGGAGCCCAGCCACCCCTTCCCAGATCAGCGGGCAGCTCTCACCTCGCCTGTTCCGGAAGCTGCCACCGAGGGTCTGCGTGTCGCTCAAGAACATCGTAGATGAGGATTTCCTCTATGCGGGGTGAGGCCGGGCAGCTGCGTGGTGGCGGTGGTGGCGGTGGCGGCCAGGCAGGAGTCTGGGGCCTGCCCTGACCTGGCCCTTCCCCATATCTCCCAGGCACATCTTCCTGGGCTTTTCCAAGTGTGGTCGCTATGTGCTGTCCTACACCAGCAGCAGTGGGGATGACGACTTCTCCTTCTACATCTACCACCTCTACTGGTGGGAGTTCAACGTACACAGCAAGCTGAAGCTGGTAGGACCAGGCCTTCCTGAGGCTCACGGTCAACCCTGGCAGGCCACAATCCCACAGGCCTCAACAACCCCCCCCCCCCCCCCCGTGGAATATCCCAGGATGTCATGTCAGGTTGAACCATATGCAGTTTCCAGATGGGTACCCATCTGGTTCCACATGGGTACACAGTAGCAATTTCACTAGGTTCGAGTCAGCATTGCAAGCTTGTGCTGTCTCGGAGGCTGAGGCAGGAGGATAGCAAGTTTGAACCCAGCCTGGACAAATTAGTGAGTTATCAAGACCTGGTCTCAAAGCAAAATAGAAAAACGGGGTGAGAATGGAGTAAAGTGTGAAGGCCCTAGGTTCAACCCCAAGTACTGACCCCCCAAAAAAGAGAAAAGAAAGTCTGTGGTGCCCTTATTGTATGTTAAGTAGCAGAGAGCTCTATGAGAACCACACAGGCTGCCACCCTAGCTTTAGCTTTGACCTCTCACCCAACCTCTGCTGGGTGCTGTTACCTCTGTTCACACACGGGCGTCCAGCAGTGCGGGCTCCATCCAGGGGAGCGGGACTTAGAGCCAGCATGTCCCCCATAGGGCCGCTCCATCTGCAGGGCTCCCATTGGCTGTGCACACTGGCTTGGGACTGGCCACTGTTTCCCACTGTGAGGGATGCTGCCTACCTGAGGTGGGAGAAGGCTGGGGGTGCCCCGATGGCTTGCCCCTTCCTGACCTCTGACCCTGAACTTGTGAACATGCTGCGTAGGTCCGGCAGGTGCGGCTCTTCCAGGACGAGGAGATCTATAGCGACCTATTTCTAACCGTGTGTGAGTGGCCCAGTGACTCCTCCAAGGTCATCGTCTTTGGCTTCAAGTGAGGCAGGGGACAGGGGGGCAGAAGTGGTGGGAGGGGCTGGGCAGGCCTGCCGCGACTGAGCAGACTGTACTGGCCCGCAGCACCCGCTCACCCAACGGCATGCTCTTGAACATGATGATGATGAGTGATGAGAACCACCGCGACATCTACATCAGCACGGTGGCTGTGCCACCGTCTGGCCGCTGCGCTGCCTGCCAGGACGCCAGCCGGGCGCACCCGGGCGACCCGAGTGCGCAGTGCCTGCGACATGGCTTCATGCTGCATACCAAGTACCAGGTGGTCTATCCGTTCCCGACCTTCCAGCCAGCCTTCCAGCTCAAGAAAGACCAGGTGGTGCTCCTGAACACCAGCTACTCCCTGGTGGCCTGCGCTGTCTCCGTGCACTCAGCAGGTAGGCCTGGCCCACACCTGGCCCTGGGGAAGCTCTGTCCTTGGGCTGTGCATCCCCTGTGGCATCCAGTGGGCACTACGATGGGACTCACTCACATGACCCAGGAACTGAGATTCTGATTTTTTTTTTTTTTTTTTTGTGGAACCGGGGATTGAACTCAGGCCCTTGCGCTTGCCAGGGAAGTGCTTATTCAACTGAGCCATCTCCCTGGCCCCGAGATTCTGATTTTGTGTCATAATGGTTACTTATAGTTTACGTAGCCACATATGGCTAGCAGCTATCTGGCTGGAAAAGCAGAGCAATACTGTCCCATAAACTCATTTCCGGTTTATTTAGAAGAAAACGGTGCAGCCTGCTGCCAGCATTCAGTTAATGACTTTCAGTGACTGAGGAGTGTGTGTATTAAAAATTATGGTATTTTGTGCATGGAAATGCTGCTGCTAGAAACAATGCCATATATATAGAACAATGGGATTTGCTTCCAGACTATCAATATATAGGAGCAATGTGAAAATAATAAAAGTGAGCTATGTCGTGGCAGACTTTGGGGCAAGGTTAGGACTGTAATTTACGTTATCTTGGGATGAACAAATACTGCACCCAAAAACACTCCAGGAGAATTCTTGGAGCAAACCGGAAATAGAGATCCAAGCTAGGCACAGTGGTGCACATCTGTCATTCTAGGATGCTGAGGCAGGAGGATGCCCAGTCCAAGCCCAGCCTGGGGGGTTCATTCAGCAGTACCCTCTCTCAAAGTTAAGAATATAAAAAGGGCTGGGCACACTGCAGCATAAATAGCCCTCATCGTCCAAGTGTCAGTATGCGTGAAGTGGCTGTCTCGAGGAACTGTAAATGGACACATTACCGTTATACATCTCTGATATCAGAGAAATGTGAGTGAAAATCATAAGGTGTCTTCCAACATTGCAGCATGTGAGGAACCAGGTGGATGACTTGGCCTGGGGTAGGGTCCCTGAGTAGCTGAGCAGGGAGAGTTGGGACCACCTGGTGGCGTTCCCTGGGGACTGAGGAAGTAGGAGGTGGCCAGGGTGTCTGGTTGGTCGCTAGTGGGAGTCCCAGGGAGCACACCACAGAGTGGATAGCAGACAGGAACCAAGGCAGTCCATAATCAGGTACTGCCGCATAAATGGTAAATAGATGTTTTAATTTTGTAAGAACTTGGCCACATTAAAACACATCTCTGTGTGTGTGTGTGTGTGACTGGAGATTGAATCCACACCAGTGCCTTCATACTGAGCTATACTCACAGGTTTTACTTTGACATAGGCTCACACTGAGTTCCTCAGTTGCCAGTTCTGAGCTTGAATTTGCAATCCTCCTGCCTCAGCCTCCCAAGTGGCTGGGATTACAGGTGCACATCACCGCATCCAGCAAGATGCATCCATGCAAATACCTGTTAAGGTGATTGCTCCTGGGGAAAGGAGGGGTGAAGGGCAGTGTCAGTGTATGTAACTGAGCCTGAGGACCAGCAGGCCCCTCGGTGCCAGGCCTTAGGAGGATGAGCCTGCCCCCTCGGCCATGGGTCCTGTCAGAAAAGATGATTCAGCTCCAGGCTTGGACAACAGTAGCCCTGGCCACTGGTGTTGGGCTCTCACCTCTGGGGACTCTTCCCAGAGGGCTGCTTCTGGGCACAGCGCTGGCTGGCTGGCTGGCAAACTGCAACTTCCTGTGGTGGCCTCTCCCACTTGACAGTTGCCTGAGGCTGGGGTCTCTGGGAGTCTCCCTCAGGCACAGTCCTCACTGTGGAACACAACAGATGCTCTCCAGGTTGAGGTTTGAGCTGGGCATGGTAGCACACACCTGTCATCCCAGCGCTCTGATAGCCTGAAGTAGGAGGATTGCAAATACCAGACTAGGCTGTACAACTTAGTGACTCAACCTAGTTGAGAGTTTGTCTCAAAATAAAAATAAAAAAAGGGCTGGGGATATAGTTTGGCATGAAAGCCCTGGGTTCAACCCCAGAATGAAAGGAAAAAGGGGGGGAGGTGGATAAATATGCCTGTGCTGGTGTGCATGTGATTGTGTGCACACATGGGCGTTACCCTCACATCCTGGTGAGATGCATAAATCTCAGGGCCTGTGAGTCTGGAAAGTTCTCAGGGCAGATGCTAGGCCTCCATGGGAACAGTGGTGTAGGTCAGCTCATTCTGCACTGAAGCCCAGTGCCAAGTCTTCATCTCTCCTGTTGCAGGTGACAGTGGCTTCTGTCAGATCCTGTATGACCACACAGCCTCCCCACCACCCCCGCCCAGTCCCCCAGGGCCCCGAAGCCCAGAGGCACCCCCCACCCTCCTTAACCTCTGCCCCGAGGCAGCTCCAGCCCGGTCCTCTGGGGCCTCCGAGCCCTCGCCCGCCATTGCCAGAGCCAAGGAGTTCGTAGCCGACATCTTCCGCAGGGCCAAGGAGGCCAAAGGTGGGACTTCTGAGGACACCCGGCTGCTGCCCTGCCCCGGACCCTCAAGCAGCCGCTGCCGCTCGTCCTCAGAGCCCCCAAGCTTCTGCAGTGAAGCAGTGTCCAGGGACAGTCCTGCCTTGGCACCTGCCGCAGAGCCTGGTTATGTCAACTACACCAAGCTATACTATGTGCTAGAGTCCAGTGAAGGGACAGAGCCTGAGGATGGTGAGTGAGTGAACAGGGCCTGGAGCAGGGAGGCAGAGAGGCCCTGGGGTCTCTATCTTCCCCACTCCCCACCGTCTACCTCCCCAGAGTTCGAGGATGACAAGATCTCTCTGCCCTTCGTGGTCACTGACCTCCGAGGCCGCAACCTGCGTCCCATGCGGGAACAGACTGCTTTCCAGGTGTGTGGGGTGCTAGGAAGGCAAGAGCATTGGGCCTGCAATGATGGTGGCGTGATTGTCCCCTCCTTTGTCTTCCCAGAGCCAGTACCTGACAGTGGAACAGCTCACATTGGATTTTGAGTATGTCATCAACGAGGTCATCCGCCATGATGCCACCTGGGGCCACCAGTTCTGCTCTTTCAGTGACTACGACATCGTCATTCTGGAGGTGGGGGGGGTGGTTGGGTAGAACCACCTAAGCTGGGGGTCACCCTCCTGAGCTAGGGGTCAACCTCCACAGCTGTTCTGTGCATACCCAGGTCTGTCCAGAGACCAACCAGGTCCTCATCAACATCGGCCTGCTGCTCCTGGCCTTTCCATCCCCTACTGAGGAGTGCCAGCCCCGGTGAGTGGGTGGGACCCTCTGTGACTGCACTGCACCCTTGCTGAAGCTTAGGTCTTCCTGCTGGACCCACTGGCATCCCCGTTGTCCTATCTCTACTGCAGACCAAAGACCTATCACACCAGCCTCAAGGTGGCATGGGACCTCAACACTGGCATCTTTGAAACAGTCAATGTGGGCAAACTCACCGAGGTCAGGGGGCAGACGAGGTGAGGCAGGTGGGCCAGGGACGGGCCTGCAGGGATGGGCAGCAAGGCTACCAGAGCCACTCACTCTCTGGCCCCTGCAGTGGCAGTGTCTGGAGCTCATACCGCAAGGGCTGTGTGGACATGGTCATGAAGTGGCTGGTGCCTGAGAGTAGTGGCCGTTATGTCAACAGGATGACCAACGAGTCACTGCACAAAGGTAGGGCTTTGGGAACCTGGAGGGTTGAGGGGGCCCCAGAGCCTCCACCCAGGAGATACTCCTGGGGGCCTAGAGGCAGAGGCTGCATCAGGGTGCCTCCTTAAACCTAATCCCCTGATCCTTCATGGTTGGTGGGTGGTGAGGCAGTGGTTCACGGCTGGGTCCCTTGCCCACAGGGTGTTCGCTGAAGGTGCTGGCAGACAGTGAGCGGTACACGTGGATTGTGCTGTGAGGGCCCAGCTGCCCAGACACTGACGCCAACTACCTCCGAGGCCGGAGCTGGCCGCCCCTGTGCTGGCCTCCGCCCGGCTGGTGGCCCACAACGATGGCAGTAGTGTTGGGCTGCATGAAGGGCTCAGCAGCCAGCCCAGCAGCTGGAGAGTCTGGACGCTTTTTTATTTATGCCTATTTAAGTTGGGAAGGGGCAGAGGGGGGGAGACTGACCCCCCCCCAGCCTGGAGTGGCCACCTTCCCGCAGTGGGCATAGACGGGCCTAGCCTGTGCATTTGCCCCATTTCTGGGCGCAGGAGCCAGTGGGACCTTCGAAGAATTGAATGGTCCCAGCCTCCCCTTCTCTGCCTACCCGGCCTCACTGCACCACGGAGGGGAACCTGTGGTCACCCACTTTGTCCTTCATTTAATAAATGCTTTATTTCCGAACCGCCTGAGGTCCCATCACTACAGTGCAGGGCCACTGGATCCCCAGCCCAAATCCTGCACCATGCTTGGAGGCAGCAGCAGACAATTATCACAGCGGAATTTATTGTTTTAAGAAAGACTACAAAAGGTAGAAAACAGCTCAGCACACTAAACTACCACACGCGTGGACACTTTCACCGCTGGGAGAGGGAGGCCCCGTGGGCATGGGGCAGCGGGCAGGACCACCCCAAAAGCTGTAACACGCGGAGCACACAAAATAGTGATCTTTATACAATTGGTTAGATTTTCCTTTTTTTTTTTTTTTTTTTTTGTTTTTTTCTTTTGCCATAAACATCTATCTCACAGGTTGAAAACACTGAGAAAACTGGAACAGATAAGGCCATGATGGTTGGAAAAAAACCCAACAAGTTACCGACTCCGCTCAGGCGGCTCACAAATCGCACAATAGTCAGGGTCCACGGTCGGGAGCGCAGGTTTCTGGGCCTGGCGTCCCAAGCTCCTCTAAGCGGAGCCGGGCACCTCCACCCCACACCTCGCTTCTTTGGACGGGGAGGCCGAGACTGGCCGCCCTCTCTCAGGTTGCGGGGCGAGAAGGGAGTAGGGGCCCAGCTCTGGAGAAGACACTACGCCCACAGCTTTAATTGCACTTATACCAAAGGGGAGAAGCAGTGGGGGGCTGGGGAGGGGTTCCGGGCTGCGCCCCTGCGCTGCCCGCCGGGTCAGGCACCCGGGCAGCTGTGCAAAGCCAGCGAGCAGAATAAGTTAACGTTCTGCGGATAGGGCCCGCCTGCTGCCCAGTGGGCCGGTGGGGCAGGCTAGGGTGCTGCGACCTGGGGGCAGGCCGGAGGGCTGCCTGGGCACCGGGGTTCCTTAAGGCACGTGGATCGGGTCAGTCTGCAATGGCGGCGCCCCCGGCCCCGTGATTGTGCCGCCCGGTAGCACGGGCACCCGCAGGCAGTTTAGCTGGACGGCAGTGCCTGCACAAAGAGGCCGCGTGCGTCCGTGCGTGCCAGCTTGGCCGGTGGCTCCAGCGCCTCGGGGCCCAGTGCAGGCGATTCACCACCGGCTGTCAGAGAGATGTCCTGCGGTAGCTCATCCTCGCTCTCCTCCTCCTCCTCCTCCTCTTCGTCTGGGGCACATGGATCAGGCTGCTCAGGACAAGGCCGGCGCCCACACCCCAACCCTACCACCCTGTGACCCGCAGCCCGTTGGGGGCCCACCTCACCTACCTTTGTCTGTGTCCAGGGGATTCAACGAGGTGGCCAGGTTGGCGAACTGCGAAGACAAGGACGCAGGTGAGGCCCAGCCACCAGCAGCACCATGCCCCCTGCACCCATGCCCCCACGCACCTCGCCCATGACAGCGATTGGGGTCTCGCCCTTGGCCTGTGCCACGCGGTGCTCGATCAGATAGTACATGTACTCATCATACAACAGCCGGATGAGGTGGAAGGAGCCAAAGCTGGCGGCACTGCGCAGGGTCAGGTCCCGGATCACCATGGAGCTGTAGGCACCAAGAGCGCTGTTAATCCAGCGGCCCTTGCCCGACTTCCCCGTGAGGAGTAGCTTCTGGTTTCGCTCGGTAGACCATGCCAGACAGCAACTGGCCAGCCTCTGGGGGTGGGGCCTTCTAAAGCACCTCCTACCTACCTCAAAGAGCCTTGCTGCCCTCGCCCTATGCCTGTTTCAGGGAGGCGGGGCCTCTACTAGGCCCACCCACCACCGGGAGGAGCCGACTCATACTGATCCATGCCCCTCCAGTGGAGGCGGGGCTTTCTTGGCCCCACCCACCCGGGGGTGTTTTCAGACTTCACCAATTGGCCTTCCCCTGGGGTGGGGCCTCCTTTGATCCCGCCCCTCCCTGGCAGGCAAGCGCACCTGTAAAAGGACCACTTGAGGAGGAAAAGTTTTGCAGCCTTGGGGAAGCCAGAGCTGCCCTGGTAGGGCTTGAGCACCTGGCTGACAACGCCATCCAGCCAGGCCGCCCACTGCTCCAGTGAGTTCTGCTGCTGCAGCGTCACTTTGAAGTCCTGCTCCAGGCGCTGCACTACGCGGTCCTCGCAGCGGCACACCCAGGAGGCCTGCTCCTGGGGAAGAAAGATGGGGTCCTGGCTCAGGCTCTGCCCCACCCACCACCTGTCTCCAAGTTCCGCTACACTCACCTGCACATTGGCGAAGTCCACACGGTTGAGGTCGCTGAGCATCTGGTTGATCTGCGCCGTGTTTTGCAGTACTGCGCGCGCAGCCTGTGCCAGGTGATTGAGGGACGTGTAGCGCCGCAGGGTCTGCGCGAAAGCGCCAGCTGCTGCCACCTGCACGGGACCCAGGCTATAAGGGCGGAATCACCGGCCCAGGAGGGGCCTCGTGTGCGCTGCAATCCCCTCAAAGCCTACAGGTCCCTTACAATTGAAAGGTTGTGCCATGCTGCTTTGCTTGGGTGGCCAAGGGGTTAGGCCTGTCAGATGTTGGGATCCACTTCATGGGTGTGTAAAAACTATTTACAGCACTACTGCTGTTGTTGTAGTGCCAGGGATGGAACTCGAGGCATGCGCATGCTAGGCAGGGGCTCTACCGCTGATCATATCCAGCTCACAACTTTATGATCACTGGGACTGAACCTAGGGACTCCAGGCTGAGCTATACCCCGGCCTTTATTTCACATTTTAGTTCATTATTTTTTTTTAAAGACAGGGTCTCCCTAAGTAGCTAAGTTGTCCAAGTTGAGCTGGAACTTGGATCCCTCTTCAGACTCCCAAAGTGTTGATGATAGGTGTGTGCCAACACATCTGCCTGGCACTATTATTTTATTTTATTTATTATTTTTTAATTTATTTGTGTGTGTGTGTGTGTGTGCGTGTGTGGCCAGCTCAGCCCACCAGGGGGCGGGGCTGGCTGGCATGTGGTGCTGGGGGATTGAACCGCGGTCCCTGTGCTTTGCTTAGCTTGTTCTAAGTAGGTGCTTTAGACCACTGAGCCATCTCACCAGCCCCTGCACTACTATTTTAATGAAAGAACAGAACATATGGAGTTCTTTGGTGAACTACATTGCCTCTATTACTGCACACCTCAGTGTCAGCCACGAAAGGGCAGGGATTTTGTTGTTCATTACTGTTCTTCCAGAAGTGAGAACCATGCTGGGCATCCAGTAAGTGCTCAATAATCACATATTGAAAGAACAAATGAATATGAGTCTTTTTTTTTTTTTTTTTTTTTTTTTGTGGAACCAGGAATTGAACTTAGGCCCTCGCGCTTGCCAAGGAAGTGCTTATTCCACCGAGCCATTCCCCCAACCCCCAAATTTATGTGTCTTGTTCTTCTGTACCAACTTCTCTCTTTCACCCACCTGCCCTGTATTCTGCCTACCTAGGAGTACTTCTTAAGGCACTCATTTTGAGCTAGGAATTTGGGGGTGCAACTCAGTGGTACAGTGTTTGCCTAGCATGCATATGGCCCAGGAATCATAGATTCACCTTGTTAACAAGTTTTATTTACTGCTGAACACCTATAGAGACAATGCAGGGTGGTACAGGCATTTCAGAAATGGGTACGAAGGGCTGGCGAGATAGCTCAGTGGTCTAAAGCACCTACTTAGAACAAGCTTAGCAAAGCACAGGGACCACGGTTCAATCCCCCAGCACCACATGCCAGCCAGCCCCGCCCCCTGGTGGGCTGAGCTGGCCTGGCCACACACACACACATACACACAAATAAAAAAATAAAAAATAAATGGGTACCAAGGAATCTGCTCTGTAAGACAGCATCAGAGTCCTCTCTGCAGCTCTGCTGTCCACAGCCCCATCCCCCAGATGCATGACTGTCATCTGGGGACACTTGCGAGGTACCGCCCTCTCGCCTCACCTTCACCCGCACCATCTCCTCAGGGATGTTCATCATGGCATGGGTGAGCCAGCTCTCCAGGCTCTTGGCAAAGTTCCGGATCGCTTGGGTCAAGGCACCTGTGGGTGGCAGGGGGTTGTCAGGGTGGGTGGTGGTATGTGGGAGTGGAGGGGTGGCCGAGCACTCACTGGGGATGGGCCGAAGCACGTCAGGGATGAGGATCTCCACCAGGCCCTGGTACAACACGTTGTCACAGTGCTTGGTCCACTGGAGCACAGGCTCGAACTTGGAAAGGAGCACCAGACTGGCCTTGGGCAGCCGCTTCTCGGCCTCGTCATGCCTGGGAGCATGCCCCAAACCCCAAGGTCACACAGGGGCTCCAAGGTCCTGCACCCAAGGTCAGAAGGACACAGGCACCCACACATGCTGCCACTCAGGAGTCAGATGGCTGCTCCCACCTCCTGCGGGCCCAAGGCCACAGGGCTCAGGTGAGGACCCTGCACCTACCCCCCAAGCAGGGCCTAGCATCAGTGGATACACAGGCACACTCAGTGTCAAGAGCATGTGGCCCCATGGATGGCAAGAGCAGCCCATAGACTCACACGGCCAGTGGCGGCGCCTCACTGGGCTGGCTGTGGTTGTACCTCCAGAAGGTCTTCCACAGTGTCTCTACCAGTGTGAACTGCAGGTTCACCATGACATCCACGATGGCCTAGAGAGAAGACCATGTGCTCAGGGCCAAGGGGCAGCTGCCTGGAACTCCCCCAGCTGGGCCAAGTCCTACAGCCCACTCGCCCCCCCTGCCCATCCTACCTCACAGTGTTCCCGGTATAGGACCTGGAAAGCCTTGATGTCCCCGGGTCCAACACCCTCTGGTAGCACTTTGCCCTGGAGGTCCAGCTCCATGAAGTCAGGGAGGCTCCGGGAAGCATCTGGGGGTGGGGAGCACTATGAGACGTTCATCCTCCACCTACTGGCTGCAACTGTCTTCCTCTAGGATCCCACTCAGCAGAAGTCCCCCACATGTGGAGGGTGGGGTGAGGACCCATGAGCCTCAACCCCAGCATAAAGAATACCAGCCTGGCTCACCTGCTACATGAAAGCCCTGCACCAGCCCTAGGGAAGTAGGACAGTTGGTACAGGCATCTTTGCCCCCAAGGCCCAGGAACCTCAGGGACACTGTATACTCTGAGGGGGGCCTAGCCCTGGAGTCACCCCACACCCTCAGTTCTACTCCAAGTGTCCCCTCCCATCCCTATCTCAGCACCCCAGGGATGTGTGGGCCACAGGGCAGGTGAGCTCCAGGAGGCAGAAACAGCCTGTGCTTGACAGTACTCTCCTGTCCAGCCCCTTGGATACTTCCTGCCTCTCCTGAGAGCTGTCTGTGTGCAGCACCCCCGGCTGGCGCTTACCCAGGAACTGCTGGTACTGCTGCACCTGTGCGCTGATATCCGACAGCCCCGCGGGTTGCTGCTGACCCACAGCCACACCGTTGGTCATGCCCTCCATCTTCTGGATGGGTTTGAGCCTGCATGGGCAGGAATGGGGGCACCTAGCACCAGACTGGAGCGGGGCATGGTCCAGGGCACTCTACTGCCCACTGCTCCTACCTCTGCTTCTGGGAGAAGGGCTGGCCACGCATGGCCATGTGCTGTTGGTCCTCCATGAGCCGCAGCAACGGGGAGCTGGCCTTAATTCTCAGGCCATAGTAGTGGTACTTGGAGTTGCCCCTGGGGAAGGAAGATGTGGGGATGAAGGCCAGGTGGCGCCCTACGGCCTCACTCTGCACCTCTTCCTGGAAAGGGAGCGTGAGGAGAAGCCAGCGACCATTTCAGGGCACACTGCCAATTCTATTATGGAGCATGCGCCTGGCTAGTATGTCCATGGGAGCCACTCTGCCTAACACCCCCCCCAATACCCCCAGTAAAGGGTACTCCTAACACCCCAGTGGGCAGATGACCCAAGCCACAGCCCACAGAGATCTACAACTCTGCCCAAGATGAATGAATGAATGAATGAATGAATGATGAGCAAGATGGTAAAGCATCTGGGAACCGGAAGTGGGAGATTAACCGGGTGAGTAGGGGTGCTGGGATTCACAGAATGAGAAAAGATGGACACCTAGGCTGGGAACCCACTGACCCACAGGCCCTGATTAAGCACTGACTGTGCAGCCCTGATAGTATGAGGGTTCAAGACACAGCAGAAATAAGCAGCATGAAAGGTGACTGGGCTGGGGAGATAGCTCAGTGGCACGAGCGCCTGCCTGTCTGCAAGGTCCCGAATTCAATCCCCGGTACTGCGGGGGTGGGTTGGGAGGGTGGGGGTGCGGCTGGTAGGGACTGAAGAACCAGGGAGAGAGCACAGGCAGAGGGTATGTTCTGTGCAAAGCCCCTGGGGTAAGAGCATGGGGCACATAAGAGGACCTGAAGCCCTGGACAGCTTGGGGTTGGGGTAGTCCTGGAGGACAAGGGTAGGCAGCCCTACCTGGTGCCAAGGCGGCGTGTGCGCAGACCCATGAAGACGGAGCGGATGAGCTTGCCAAAGGAGGCAGCATTAACAGGCTCCAGCTTCTGCTCCTGGCAGTGCAGCAGGTAATGGCAGTAGAGGGTGCTGCGGGGCAGGCTCACGCCCTCGGCAGTCTCATAGTTGTCCAAGAGCCACTGGACCTGAGGGGCAGAGGTGGGGGGCAGCAAAGCACCATCAGCACCATAGCCACTTCCCATCAGGACCCTCATCACCACTCCATAGGGTGCGTGTTGCATCCCATCCTCCCTGGCAAAAGCACCCACGTCCTCTTATATTGTGTACAATTTCTAGAGCTGCCAACATACAGCTATTTCAATACAAATTTATACCCAATCGTGTTAGTGCATGACTGCAATTTGGGGACCTGGGAGGCTGAGGCAGGAGGATCAGAAGTTTGAGCCCAGCCTGGGCTATGGATGTATTTCAATGTGAAGGCTCTGGGTTCCATATCCAGTACCCCCAGAAAGAAAATTATGTTAATTTATGAAGAGTGGGAAAAAATTGCCAACATCAAGGGTGTGACCCCCATCTGTAGAACTTTTCGTTTTTTTTTTGTACCAGGATCGAACTCAGGACCTTGCCCTTGCTAGGCAGGCACTTATGCTGTTGGGCTATATCCCTGGCAGAACTTGTTTTTTGAAGACAGGGTTTTGCTATGTAGTTCAGGTGACTCAGGTCAGCCTTGAAGTATTGGGACATTCCTGCCTCACTCCCCACAAGTGCTGGGATTTCAGGTATGCACCACCACACCCAACTATAGAACATTCTTGAAATGACTACATTATAAAGATGGGAAGCAAGAGGGTGAGGAATACATTCTATTTTTTGTATTTAGGACAGGGTCTACAGGGTCTTACTGCATAGATTGGACTCAGACTCCTAGTGATCCTCCTGTTTACAGCCTCCCAAGTGCCAGAATTACACGTGAGTACCACGATGCCCAGTCTCAATCACTGTCTCAGCGCACCCCAGGGACAGGGCTGGTATGGCAGATCTGGGGATCAAACTCCTGGCCCCTGCATCTGCCTTAGCAGGCACTTTAATCCACTGAGCTATTTGGTTGGCCCCGGTATACTTTTTCCTTTTTTTTCACTGTTAAGGAAAGAACCCAGTTCTCACACTCTCATATGCCAGGTGCACCACCCATTGGTACCCCAGCCTCAGTTCTGCATCCTGGTGGTGGCAACAGTCTCCCAAGACCCACCACCCAATGAACACAGAAGTCATATGTATGGGGACAAGTGTCCATCTCCTGGCCTGTCTGAGGTGCTATAGGGATGGAAAGGATGACCCGGGTGAAAGATCTCCGGCATATCAGTGACTTTTCTGCTGTTTCTTATGAATCTATCATTTCCAAATAAATAGATTAAAAAAAAAAAAAACCTCAGTCACTCAGTGCCCTGGCCATATCCCAAGAGCTCAGAGCTACCTGGGACATCCCAGAGAACACCTATGTCCCTTATTAGAGAATGCCCTGTCCCCTAGCTCAAGCAGCATGTTTCTGAGCTGGAGAGGACTCTGCAACAGCATGAAATCAGCTAGGAGGGTTACCATCGGTATTTTATAAGGTAAACCAGAAAAAAAAGAAGAGGGAAAGAAAGACAGGAGCCAGGCCAGTCACTGCGTTAGGGTGCCATCCAGAACTCATGTTCTGACCCACTATGGCCTGGGAGGGGCTGGAAGCGAGGGCCCAGGTGATTCCCAGGCACGCCAGGCTAGGAGGAAAATGTGCGGCCTCCCCCCTTGCCACCTCTCCTCCGCTGTCAGTTACAAGCATAATGAACGCTATCTTGGGCACCACTGCAAAAGCTTCACACAGATCAGCAGGTGCCTGGAGAGGCTCAGCCACCTGCACGAGGCCACACAGTGAAGGTTTCACCCCGTCAGCCTGTGCATGTTGAGTACCGGGTTTCATGGGCTCTTGCTGGTGGTGGCCAGTGACCACTGCCCAGAATTAGCCACTAGTCCCCACTCCCCACCCACTTCCCTGCTGCCTGCTCTGGGGCCTGCTGGCACTTACGGTGGCTGGTGAGGCACGGGTGGTGTGGGAGTAAGACTGGCTGGTGCTGCCCAGCATGTAGCCGCCTTGGATCACATAGGTGCCTGCTCCTCCGCTGCTGCCACTGCCGTTCCCACTGCCACTGCCACTGCCAGTAGCTCCTCCGCTGCCGCCACTGCCTCCTGCACCACTGCTGGCCCCGCCAGCACTGCTGGTGGAGCTGGCGACGACCGGGCTGCCGGATGCATACATGGGGACAGAGCCGCTGCTGGCTACGGTCTGTGAGGTGGCGGGCGTGCTAACCTGGGCAGCCGTGCCTGTGGCCTCATAGTAGCTGGTGCCCGTTGTCTGCGTGTACAGTGGCGTCTCGGAGTACGGGTAGGTGCTGGAGCGGCTGAGGGGGAGTAGAGATGGCGGGGTGACAGAGCGGTAAGAACTGAGTGACCCAGATGGGAGACTGTCAGGAGTCCTGTGGGGAGGGGATGGTCGGGGCAATGCAGCACCCCCGGGGCAGCTCCTGTTTACCTATGACAGGTCTGGTACCTGCCTAGCTGCTTGATGGGCAACTTTTCTTTCTTTCTTTTTTTTTTTTTTTTTGCAGAACCGGGGATTGAACTCAGGCCCTTGCGCTTGCCAGGGAAGCACTTATTCCACTGAGCCATCTCCCCGGCCCCTCTTTTCCCTTTTTTGAGACAGGGTCTCACTATGTAGCATAGGCCTTGAATTCATTACGCAGGCTAAACTGGCCTCCAACCGACAGTGATCCTCTTGGCTGAGCCTCCCAAGTGCTAGCACGACAGGTGTGTGGCACTGCATCTGGCTTCAAGAGCAACTTTTCATGGAGTAATCAGTCCAACCCTGTGGCACAGGAATCACTCTTCCCCTCCAGAAGTGAGAAGACCAAGATAAGAGTGTTGGGCAACTTGCAGCAGGCCACACTTCCTTCAGTCAAAACCAACCAAAGAAGATGCCTAGCACCACAAAACAAAAAACCCTGCCAGCATGAACACTTGCAATGCTAGCTACTCCAGAGGCTGAGGCAGGAGGACTACAAACCTGAGGACAGACTGGGCAATGAGCAAGACCCTGCCTCAAAATAAAAACTTCAAAGGGTCGATGATGCAACTCAGCGCTTTCCTAGCACGTGTGAGGCCCTGTGTTCTATTCCTGGCAATGTGGGGATAGGGTGGCAGGAGGTGGGGTTGGTGCTAGTGCATGCATGCATGCATGCATGCACAAGCCTACTATGTGCTGGGGACAGTCCAGGAAGAACCCCTGGAGCAGATCCCTGAAAGGGGGCGGGACAGACTCGAATGGGACTGGTGGGACACGCGCTGGCATGGTTCCCATGGCCCATGCACTGGACAGAGTTTGGCCAGGGATCACTGAGGCCTCTATCAACCACACAGAAGGACACCAAGAGCAGAGCAGGTGTGCTGGGCATGCACCCTCTTCTCCCATGGCCTGTGCCAGAGCCAATTCACCCCTTCACAGGGCCCAATATGCAACTCCTGTCTCAAAAATGGAGCCTCCAGCCTGGAGTGTGGCTCCACAGAGAGCGCCTGCCTGGCATGTGAAAGTGGCGCTCGTTGCGCAGCACCACAGAAAGAATAGAAAAGCTGTTCAAGTGGCTTATTCCCTACATGAACAAATGACAGTGTCTCTCAATGTAGCCTACACAAAGCAAGAATGGAGGCCCAGAGGCAGCAGTTTAGGTCTGGGCGGGGACCCAAGGGCTGGGAACCCCATAAAAGTCCAAGAGGGACGAAAAGAAAATACAGTTCACTGCAACACTGGCCCCAAAGAACCTCAAGCGGAGTGGAGCACTGGCCAGCCGGAACAAATGAGCTGCGTGCCTCCCACAGGACAGGTGTAGCAGGCACAGGTGGAAGTTCCAGGGACGGCAGAAGGAGCCAGCCAGGCTCTGGCTTAGTTTTGCATCCGACAGGGGTGTCCTGGAGCAGTGAGCCCTCTTCAGATATGAGTCAGTGACAACTCAGATGCCAGGGCCACCCTCTGTGTCTGTCAGAGCATCGTGACCCAAAGACAGGGAGACTCTGAGAGCTAATACAGGCCTGGTAGGGGTTGCCCACAAGCATGGGTGGCTCGGATAAAAGAAAACAAAATTACACACACAAAGAAAACCAAGTAAAAATTCTACTGAACTAAGGAAACAGTAGCAACCTCTATCCTGGAATCCCTGCTGGAAGGACAGACAGGGACAGTGAGTGGCATGGGGAGGAGCCATGGGCTTTGAGATGACCACACACTGGGGTGTGAGTGCACAGGACCAGGGCAGGGACCACCTGTGTGTCACACAGTTAGAGGGACAGGGCTCATGGGGACAAATGGGAAATGTGTGAGATCCATGTGGGACAAGTGCAGCACAGAATGCGCAGCCTCTATTTCTGAACAAAGAAAGGGGATAGTTTCTATTTTCAGAGTGTTGCTGGGAGGAAACAGGTCACAGTGGCCAGTGGGGTTGGAGGTCAGCAGTGAAAGAGCTGCTGTCCACTGCTTAACATTCCCTAGTGTGTAGAAATTCGATGTTACCCTGGAAAAATGGAAGCATCTGTCTACCTATCTACATCCTCCCCCGAAAGCCCCGGGCCCATGTGAGTGCCAAGCCCTACGCTTCTGGGTGCCTTTCCCAGCTGGGTCCTCTCTGCCTTGGCCATTCCTTGGGGCTCCTGATTGCCCTGTGGGTGTCACCTGAGGCTTAAGGCCACAAGAGTGGGGCACCCCGTAGTGAGGGGACCAGGCCCTGCCTTCCCCACTTACATGGCGCTGGCCGTGTAGCTGGCGTCGCCGCCCTCCACATACTGCACTTGGCTGGAATACACGTGTGATACGGGTACCTGCTGGAGCTGTTGCACCTGGGTAGGAGGAAGGGTAGTGGGGGTCAGGCTGGGTCACCCAGCTCTCCCTTTGGCTGGCAAAGTACATTGCTGGGATCTCTGACTACGGCCTCCTGGTTAGGCCAGGGGCCAACAACAGGTTTGGGAGTTAGGAAGACCTATCAAGTCAGGAGGCTTGTATGGATCGGCAGGGTGGGGCTTGACTGGCAGGCTGAGCTGGAATGGTGGACAGAGCCCAGGGGCGGGGCCTGGACACCTGGCACGGGGAGGGTCGGAGCCTGCAATGATGCATAGGGCCCAGGGGCGTGGCCAGAGCCTGTGATGATGGACAGTTGGGGGGCTGCCTACCCCACCCCACACCCACTCCCACTCCCTGCAGGGGCGGAGCCTGAGGCCTGGACCCTGCCCTCCCACCCTGTGTCCGCCACCTACTTTGAGGGCCGTGGCAGCTGTGGCGAACACTAGCACTTGGGGGACTCTCTGGATCCTGACCCTCTGGCCGGGGCTGGCCTGGGCCGGGAGCCCGGACAGCGGCTCGAGCACCACCCTGTGCAGCGGCGGCAGAAGCAGGCCTGGGGGCAGCGCGCCCACCCGCTCTGCCGGTGGCCCGGCGTAGGGCTTGCCGCAGGGTGCTCGCTGATCTGCCTTCCTAGTGGGGCACTGCCTGCCTGAGCTCTGGAGGACAAACAGAGATACTGGGGGGTCACCAGGCAGCCTTGGGTCCACCCCGATGGAGATCCCACCTGGTGTAAGGCAGGTGGGAGAGAGGGCAGGAGGGAGTGAGGGAGGCAGGGGAAAAACCTGACCACCCCAGGCCAGAAAGCAGTGGGATTCGAAGCCAGGTCTCAGGAAAGTCTGGGTCCTGAGTTGCCGGGTACTGAGAGAGGAGAGGAGCCATGTTGGAGCCAACAGCCCACAGCCAGAGGCTTAACTCCACCTGCCTCAGCCTCTGGGGATCCCCAGGGTAGGGGCTGTATTACCTCCCTGATGGCCAGGGGTTGCAACCCGCAAGCCCTAGCCCGCCTGTGGGGTTAAGGGAGACACACACCTCTTGGGCCACATGGACTGGCTGGAGCCCCTGCACGGTCAGTTGCTGCACTGGGCCAGCTTTGGACGCCTGTGGGGTGGCCTGGACCACTGACCTCTGGAAAGGGTAGGAGCAAAGGGAAGGGTGCTGCTACAGTAACCATGGCAACAGTGTTGGGCAGTAAGTCTGGGGAAGCACCCATCTTCAGCTCCAAACAGCTCTGAGGAAAGAGGCTGCCCTCTTCTGCCAAGGGAGAACAGAACAGGGGCCTTCAGGGTCCCTGCAACTACTTCCCAGTGCACAAATACTGGAGCCACCCTCCATGCCCTCCCCTAAGGCTTGGGAGACATGCAGAGAACTCGCAGGGGAAGCCAGGGGCCAACAGTCCTCGCTATGATGCTTCAGTGGGAATGCTGGGCTTTCCCAAGGGCAGGACTCGGACTGGATCTCAACTGTAAGGTCCTGAGGGGCTCTGGCGCTGGACAGACATCTGTGGATCCAACTGCTTGAGGGGCCAGGAACCCCTCAACTTGAGCACTAACCACCACAGGAAGACAGCTCTTTCCTTAGCCTAATCTGGGGACTGTGGCTGGGCGCTCAGAGCGCCGGCTCCCACTGCTCTTGCGGTGCAGTATCCTGGCCGAGGTGTTTCTTTCCAGGTTCTGAGCCTGCAGCAGCTACAGTGCACTCTAGAAGCGACTCCAGGGCCTGGTCTGCACTCAGTCCTTCCCTAGGGGTCTGCACTTTCCGAGTGGAGAGGCTGCCAGGGGCTTGGGTGGCAGACAAGGGCTGGACCCATCTGTTCCACTTGAACCAGCCAGAGGCCACCTGGCCCAGTCCCTCTGCTCCGGCTGCAGCCCACCCTGGCCAGGCACCTCTTGGGATACAGGGACGCTCTGCTGGACGCCGTGGACTTGTAACGGCTGTGGTACCGTGCCCGCAGGGGTCGCAGCCGTCTTGTTTGCAGAGCTGTTGGCCTGCACCGGTGACCGCTACAAGGAAGGACACACGAATCCAGGTCAGGGCTGGCTGGGAACCCTGTACCGACCATCTAGGCTGGAAACAGGTGCCAGATGCCTACTTCTGGCAGGAGCCCAGTTGCCCTCCAGGCTCAGAGGTGGCTCAGGGGCCTCCTGCTGCCTCATCATCATAGGGAAGCAGCCTAAGATAAGGGGTTAGACAAATGGAAGGCTGAGAGTGCCCTGCTGAGCTCTTCTGTGGGACCTGTGCAACGTTATGGTAGTGACAATAGTAGTGTCTGATGTGACATCCTAGTGGCTCCCACCACGTGCAGCTCTGAGTCTGTGTTCACTCAGTGGGGATCATGCTGAGCTGAGGCAAGTGACCCCATCCCATGGCCTGCCTGCCTCCAACACTCTCACTGCTGTCTGTGGGTTCCCAGAGTCTGTCACGTGGCCAAGGGCTGCCAGGGAGAGACACCACCCACTGTGCCCAGGATGCAGCTCTACCTTGGAGCACCACCTTGGCCTAGGAAGGAGCAGCCCCCTCCTCTGGAACCATGGCTCTCAGCTGCTTAGCCCACAGAGAACACAGGGCAGGTGGCCAAGTCACCCCCACCTCTTGGGCTGGGGTGGGGACGCAGGAGGGAGCTGAGCAGGTGGCTCCCAGTATGCTGTGGGGGAACTAGCAGACCCCGCAGGGGCAGGAAGGTGTCCAGTGAGCCCCACTTACCTCTGGGGGCGAGTGCACCTGCTGGGTTCCGTGCACTGTCAAGGAGACCTGGCTGGCCTTGCCACCGGGGGCTGCACTCTGCACCACCAGACGCTGTGTGGGGAGAGCCTGGAGCCAGGCAGGAGAGGGGCACCATCACCCAGACAGCCGGGTGCCAGGCTGTATTCTTGGAGCTCATGCCTATCAGTCCAGGTGCAGCGCAGTCACTAAAACACTTCACAGTGGGTGACGCCTGGGCTCAGGACAGCAGGAGCCCTTGTCTGAGTCCTGGGGCTAGGAAGCGGCAGAGCCAGATTTTGTGCCTGGGGAGCCTCGAGGAGAGGAAGTCACAGGATGGGATTGTGTCCTCAATGGGACAGTGTCCTGGCAAGGACACATTCAAGCCAGGTGCCATGGCACATGCCTTAATCCCAGCACCTTGGGAGCTGAGGCAGGAGGACTGCAAGTCTGAGCCCCGCCTGGGAAACTCAGTGATTACTTTTTTCAGTATTGGGAATCGAACTCAGAACCTCGTGCTTGCCAGGAAGGTGCTTATGCTGCTGAGTCATCTCCCTGGCCCTCAGTGACTTTTTTTTTTTTTCCCTCAGTGACTTATTGAGACACTACTGAAAGTAAAAACTGAAGAAAAATAAAAATTAAAAAAAGAAAAGGACTAGGTACATAGCTCAGTGAAAGAAAAAAAAAAAGACATTAAACAGCCTCAGGGGCCTTGGTTCCCCATGCAAGGTCAGGGTGTAGCCAGGAAGCAGGGCCTTACCTGCTGTGACACCTGGATGTTGGTGAGCTGAAGAGGGGAAACGTGGCCTGGCTTCGCCTGCACGCTCTGGACCAGGAGCCGCTGGAGGGCAGAAGGCACAGCCCCTGAGCAACGCAGTCTCCCTGTGCATCTTGATAAGCACAGGTAAACAGGTGGCTCCCACACGCCCGCCCTGCCTGCTGCCCAGAGAAGGCTGCATCCTACCTGCTGGGTGCCCTGCACCTGCTGCACCACCTGGGTAGGGACTCCGGTCTGGCTGGCTGTGGCACCTGGGCTGGCCTCCGACACGGTCTCGCTGGCCCGCATGGCACCTTCTGTGGAGGAGTGGTTGCCAGGTCAGCTCTGCCAGCTACCTCTGCACCCAAGCCCCAGCCTACCTGGAATGTATGCTGGAGCTGAGGGCAGCCTCAGACAGGCCCTGGACTCTTAAAGATGCCACCAGCGGCCCCCAGGGAAGGGCGGGGGCAGGATCCCTAACATCTGAAAGTATATTCCAGGTCTCCTTGTCCTGAATCTATATGATCCCTATAGCCAATAGGCCCTGCCCCAGGGGCCTGGCAGCCAGGGAAGGACCTCCCTGGACATGACCCTGGCTTTCCCAGACGCAGCAGTGGTCCCAGAAGGCTTGATGGCCTGCAGCAAGGTGCCCCCTTCCAGCGTCCTATGCTCAGTGGGCTAAGGCAGTGTTGGGGATCTGTGTCTTCCACAAAAGGCTTGCAGCTGGGCAGTGGGTACTCACGCTGGCAGGCAGCCAGGAAGAGGCAATCATAGAACATGGTGCCCTCCTGCCCACTGTTCGTCCAGGGTACCTACTGGCCCTCCTTGCTTTCAACCAACCTCTGCACAGGCAGCTTTATACCCAGAACCTTGGGGAACTAATCCTCCAGTGAAGGTACAACTCCTGCGCACCCTCTTGGATAAGCAACCCCATGGCGGGGGCAGGATGGGGCAGGAGGAGGCTGGTATCCAGAGATGCTATCAGGCCGGCTTGGGTCAGGTTTCATACACTTCTTGCCCAGTGCTTAGCAGAGGCGGTAAGGGGGCAGGGAAGGACAGTATCCCCAGAGGCACCGGCCGGCAGATCCTGACTATAACAGGGATGCCTTTGGTCCTATCACCTCACTGTGGTGTGGCCTGGCCTGTGCCCCACAGCTCCAAGCTGAGGCCCCAGCACCAGCTTCCTGGGGGAATCTGCCTGGGGAGCTTGGAGTGGTTTCTTGCCCACAATAAAAATGTGGATCAAGGTGGTGACTACCTCGAGGTGCTGACATTGCTTCCGGCATGCCAGGCACTGTGTTGGGCTCTCCCCCATAGCCCAGTGGAATATTTTTCCTGCCAGTTTTCAGATTAGGCAAGACACTGGGGGAGGGACGCGCTCAAGGTCACCCAGTTGGGAGCGGTATGGTCCTACAGAGACCCTAGGGTGGAGGGGTGCAGAACTCGTACAAGGGAAACCCCAAGTTCAGAGCATCGTGGGGGTGCTCAGCCTCCAAAGTGGGTTGCTGGGTCCCAGCTCCATGAGGGACACAGGAGAAGGGCCTGGCCTGGCAGCAGGACAGCTCTGGGCAGGCGCCAGGACCTCAGGCCAAGAGCAGGGCAGAAAAACGTGCGTAAGTAGGTGTGTGAGCACACTTGGGCTGAGGACGGACGGACGGGGAGGTGCTGCGGGGGAAGCGGCCACGAGAGGGGTGGGCACTGGGGCAGCTCCAGGCCTGCTCAGCCAGCTGCTGCAAGCTCATTCCAGGCAGCAGGAACTCTTGGTCTGGCAGGAGACCTCCCCGCCACCCAGTTGGCCCTTGGGGAGAAACCGGAGACAGCCTAGAGTCACGTGAGCCCCAGCACACCTGGATGTTGCCGGGGCCCTCCACAGGCCCATCCTGGAGATAGGCCCCAGCAGCGGAGGCTGGGGACCCTGCTGAGAGGAGGCTTCTGCCCCCATCTCCTGTTTCTCTGGTGGCTCCGGAGGCCAGCATGAGGAGGAGCAGGTGAGTCTGCTCTTGGGACTCCAGGGTTCCTGTGTGTGTGCCTCATCACCTCTGGGTCACCTCTGCTGCGTTTCAGGGAGGGAAAGCAGAAGGGGCACCCGCTGGGTAGCAGCGGCATCTGTCTTGTCTGTGGCCGCCATCCTGGGTGCCTACAGGAAGTGGGGAGTATTTCCTGTCTTTCACCCGGTGGCAGCCACCAAATGTAGACTGTTTCCTACTTACTGTCTACATTTACTAGCCCTGCATCTGGGAAGCTGCTGGGGCTTGGGGCTGTTCTGGGCCCCTGATGGCTGGCCAGGTCTGGGTCTCTCTGTGTACCAGACCTCAGTTTACCCACAAGCACATGGGGTGCTAACAAATACCCCAACTATCTGCTCCAAACACAACTCTTCTCCGGCTGCCAAAGGCAGCACAGAGGTGTGGCAGCCACATCCCTGTCCAGTTGGCTCTCTTGCCAGAGCTGGCACGAGGGCCGCAGCAACCGCTATTTTCTTAGGTCTCGGGCACAAGTCAGGTGGCCTCGGAGGATGGGATTAGGGATCAGTATCATTCCTGACCAGGGAAACTTGAGCCTTCTTCCTGTCACCACCAAAGCCACGTTGGGGCAGAGTATACCAGGCACAGGCTGGACAAGTGGCCCTGGGCTGCCATCCACCTGCTTTGGCTGGGGCTTCAAGCCCAGGTGGACCCCAGACCCAGGACTCCCTGGCAGCTCCAACTGTCCCAGGTGCTTCCCTGTCCTAAGCACCCTGTAGTGTCAGTTTCCCCCTAGGGGGACAATGAACGGAGCCCAGGCTGCCCCAGGTAGAAAGGTGCCAAGCTGGAAGCACACCAGCCCTCCCTGCTTCTGCCGGACAAACCCAGGAAGTATTGCCCGGTGAACCTTCCAGGGGACCGATGCAAACTAGCAAGGAAATGAACTCCCAAGGGTCACTATGACTGTTGTTGAAGTCACCACCTGGCCAGAGAAGCTGGCCTGGGAGTTACAGGGAGAGCTGGGTGGCTACGGCCCTGCCCTAATGAGTATGAAGCTCCTGTGGCATGGCACATCCCCAAGGAGGCAAGGACAGAGGCCACCTTGCCATGCTGGTCCACAGAGAGTAAGACCTGGCTTGGGTCTGTGAGACACAAACCATGTTGTGGCCTTGACCTCTGAGCCCTAGGTGTCCCTGGGGAGCAGGAACCAAGACAGGGAGGATGGACTTGGGGTCTTTGGGGGCCAGGGGAAGGATGTCTACTCCCAAATCTTCTGGGGACCCCAAACTCTGTCATGAGAAACCCATACCCTGGAAGCCTAAAGCCATAGAGATATCCCAGGGGCTAAGAGTTCATGGTGAGGAAGGGAGGTGTCAACCACAGGGGTGTTCTGGGCCAGGCCCACTGCCACCGACCACCCCATAGAACCTTGACAGAGCCCTGCCCCACAGGTGACAGACAGACATCACCATCATCCCTTTGAGTGGTGATAAGCGTCAAGAGAGTAGGGTGAGCAGGCACTGTGGTGCATGCCTGTAATCCCACTGCCCTGGGAGGCAGAAGCAGGAAGGTCACAAATTTGAGCCCTGCCTGGGCAACTTAGTGACCAAGTGAGACTCTTTCTCAAAATAAAGATAAAAAGGGATTCAGGGTGGAGCTTAGTGCAAAGACCCTGAGTTCACACATGATCTTAGCCAAAAGGGCGAGAAGCGATAAGACCCTGAGTTCAATGCCCAGTGCTACCAAGAGAAAAAGGTGAAGGGAGAAGTGTGATGGTGTGTGGATGAGGGGTGAGTGGGCGGGCCAGGAAGGTGGCCTCCGAGCAGAGCAGGGGAGACAGGCTGGGCAGGGACCCCTGGGCATCAGGTACAGCGAGTGCCAAGGTGCGGGGGTGAAGGTGGGATGGGGCCCAGGCCTGGTGATCTGCAGAACTGTAGGACACCCCCAAGGTTGAGCAGGGCATTTGTGGACGGGGTGAGGACCTCGGAGAGCTGCTCTTTCCTCTTTTTGTGGCACGTGGGCTGGAACCTGAAGCTCCACCACTGTCCACTGGCTTACTTTCTCACTCTGTAGCCCAGGCTGCCTGTAAGTGCCACCCGCCTGCCTCAGCCTCCTGAAGGGCAGGTACGAGCACTCTATTCCACTTATGGGGACCTTTGAAAGCCCTTGTTTTATTCAGTGTGAGGCAAGGGACCAGCTCTCTCAGGGTGGAGAAGGCAGAGGTCCTACGGAGCACTGGCCCTGAGTCTCTGGGGCTGAGTGGGCCCTGAGAAGACTGCACTGACCTGTATGGACAGGCAGCTCCAAGGCATGCAGGAGCATGGGAGGGACAGCCTGGTCCATGGGGTGGGAGGATGATGAGGTCAGAGATACCCCTGGGCCTGGAAGGATAGGGAACCGCAAAGGAGGGAAGATGTGGAGAGGAGAGCTCAGTATTCCCCGGGCAATGCTGCTGAAGAGGTCAGGAGCTGCTGGATACGGGGCCCTGGGGCTCAGAGTGGACCAGCAAGGTGGCCATTGGAATGACACTGGATCAGGCCACCACGAGGGAGCTCCTGGAAGGAGAGGGGCCCCAGGAGAGCTGGGGATGTGGCCTCCACTGCCACCGACGCCTGGGAGCAGGGGGAGGGGACAGAGAGGCAGCAGCTGCCAGAACGGCATCTTGGGGGAAGGGGACCGAAGTCAGGCTGGCTTGAGACCGCATGACTGTGAGTCTGACACCGAAGGCTAAGAGTGGCCCAGTGGAGCCAAGGGACAGAAAGGCACAGGAGGCTGAGGCCAGAGCTCAGGGGAGGACCCAGGGCTGACAGGAGAGGGAAGCAAAGCAGGAAAGAGTTCTGGTTTAAATAGGGGGAGTATCTTTTTGCTTTTTTTTCTTTTGGTGGTTCTTGGCATCAAACTCCAGCTATAATCCCCTGCTTGCTTTTACTTTTTTATTTTGAAATAGGATCTTTCTCAGTTGGCCAGACTGGTCTTGCACTTGTGATCTTCCTGCCTCAGCCTCCCTGGGGGTGATTTCAGTCTTTACTCACAGAAGGGAAAGATTTGCAGGAAGGGGACAGAGGGATGCAGCAGGGACCAAGAGGATGAGTGGTCCTTCCTGCCTGGAAGGTCAGCTGGGTCATTTGTGGGGACCTTGTCCCCCACAGGTCAGCAGCAGGCTTAGGCCAGAGGTGAGACACAGGTGAGAGGCGTGATGAACCGCTGAAGATCTGTGCCTTCTGACCCCATCCCCGACCCTGGCCTGACCTCACTGGACCAGGCCACATCCCCGAAGCTGAGGAGTGCTGTGCCTGGTTCTCATGCCAGCACATGATCACAGCCACTGTGCTGGGACCCTGGGTGTCCCCACCCCCAGCTGTACCCAGGGACACTTCCATGTGGATACTGGCAGAAGTCCTGAGGCCCTGCTCAGGGCCATGGCCACATCTGCTCTGGGCCACCAGGGCTGCACTGCCTACTACATATTTGATGCTCCATGGTCCTGTGGGCCAAGCCAGGCCCACCCTGCCCCAGCCCACCACAACATCCCTGAGCAGGAGGATCTGGCCAACTCGCCTGCCTGTGGCTGGGGACAGCAGGCTTACCCTGTGACTGTGACCAGCTCTGACGCCAGCTCCAGTGCCAAAGAGCTGTGCCAACAGCACTGAGGTGCCCAGCCCTGGCTTGGAGCCCCATCCCCGCTGCACTCTCCTGAAGAGCTCAGCACAAGGGACCCAGGGAGGGCCACAGCACCCTGGGGACACCATGACCCAGCTTCTTGGCCACTTCCAGAGGGAAGACGGAGCAACTCTTACCCAGCCAACTGTCAGAAAGGACAGGGCCATTTCCCTGGAAGGGGGTACACATTGGGGCCCCCAGCCAATGGGGATCAGCCCAGTGAGGAGCATCATATTCCTGAGAGAAAGGCTATGATGACCCCTTACAGTTGGGGAAATCAAGGCAGAGAGGCCAACGGCTATGAAGCAGCCTGCTTCCCCAGATCTTTGTAAACTGAATCCCATCACCCTGTCCTCCTTTCTGTGACAGAGATAACAGATCTAACAGAGCTTGGGGGGAACTCAGGCCTCCCTGCTTGGCCTAACTACGCTTTCTCCAGACAGGCCCCCAAATAACAGCCAACAGCCTGGTGGGGCAGGGATCACCCAGGATCCTGACCCCAGAAACTCCTTTCTGAGCTGTGCCCAAGCCCCCATGCTAAGTGCGTGTGGACACTTACCTGAGACGGTGACCACGATGTACTGCTGAGGTGCAGGGGCCGGGGTGGGCGTGCCAGCCGGCTGTGAGGGCGCGGGGGTGGCTGGGAGCTCAGTCACATACTGCTTCTGGGTGCCTGGAGGCTGCGCCTGGGGTTGGGGGCTCTGTAGCTCCGAGACATACTGGGGCTGGGGAGTAGTGGTGGCAGCGGGTGGTTGGGGGGGCTGGGGTGCTGCTGAGGGTGGCGGGGGCGGCGGCTGGGGTGGGGCCTGCGGTGGCTGCGATGCTTGCGGGGCTGCCTGTAGCTCAGTGACATATGCCTGGGTTGCCATGCCAACAGTGGGGAAAATGATAATAAATAAGGCTTTTTTTTCTTTCTCTTCCTTTGGAAGAAAAAAAAAAGGGAGGGGGAGAAGAAAGGAAAAAAAACAAAACAAAACAAAAACAAGAGAAAACAAGAATTAATTTATAGGCAGAGGAAGGCATGGAGAGCTCCTGGCTCCCTGGAGAAGCGTCCGGGTTTGTCACTAACTTAATTAAATCCCAAGGTCGGCGGCCAGATAGAGGTGACCTGTAACTGCGGGGGACATGGGCACAGGCAGAGGCTGGGCCCCTCTACTCCCTCCTTCCTGTCCTGGTACTTGAGGACCCCCATAGCCCTGGGGTCATCCATCCTGAGCCAGAGGACCTTGGGACAACCTAATGGTGGCTCCTGGTCCTTGCCCAGGGACAAATGGCACAGGTCTCCCAGGTCAGGTGCAGAGGCCAGGGCTGCCTCCTCCTCTCAGGGTGCTGGCCTTCCCTTCCTGTCCCCATCTCAGCAGGGGGTACGAATGGTTTGGGGCCCCCTGTGTCGACAAGCCACATCCCTGCTCTGGACATTCAGGCAACAATAGGACGAAATGGAGACAGACATGCAGACACCTTTGGGGATGAGTCTAAGTGCACTGCCTGCACCTCCCTGGACGACCACTTGTGTCCCAGAGGGTGGCAGCTGACCTCTGGCACCTGTGTGCTATGCATGACAGCAGATGGCCTCCAGCCAGCCATGACCCAGGGGAAAGGAGACAAGCCAGGACCCTGGAGCCTGGGCTTGTTGCCTGCGTAGGCAGGAGACCACGCACAGGACTAGAACCAGGGCCTCTGTGCCCCCAGATGTCCTTTTGGGCCCCTAGTCTGACTTGGGGTACCAGGCATGTTTCTCATCTACTCCTCTCCATCAGCAGAGAGCACCTCCCTTTCCTGACTGTGAGGAGACCCGAGTGCCACCCCCAAACTTACACCCCTCCTAAGGCTTACGGAGGGCACTGGCTGGGGAGCAGGAGGCACCCCAGGGATGCTCCAGGGCTGTGCTGAGCTGCCCCTGTTCTTCCCATCCCCCCTTCTCCAGAGACCTGGGCTCTGCCCTCTGGTGCTCAACACAGGAGATGTCAATGAGGGAGTGGGAATCCAGCCCTGGGCAGGGCCCGGTGTGACTTGAGCCTGGCCTCCTCCTGGCTGTGTGGCTTCAGGGAGGGCCTTGCGGGGCCCGCTGTGGGGTGGGTGCTGCAGGGGGCTGAGGGGCTCTGTGTGGTCTCAAAGGGTCAGTGCTGGCCAGGCGCACCACACACTGGATGTCCCCAGGGGGGAGCCAAGGCAGGCAGCTCTCGGAAGATACAGAATGGGAATCCAAATTTGCAATGGTTCCCCGATAGTCCCCAGATGATGTTTCTAGGGCCACTGTTCAAGAGAACTTGGGCTTAGGGCAGGGGAGGTAGTTCAGTGGCTTAAGCGCCCATCTGGCAAGAGCAAGGTCCTGAGTTCAACCCTAGTACCGCAAAAAAAAAAGGAAACAGAAAAAAAACCAAAACAAACAAACAAAAACAACCAGCTTGGCCCTAGCCTTCTCAGCCCTAGGAAAGCTGGCCCCCTCCCTCAAGAAAAGGGCCTCTTCGTCCCTCCCCAGGGTTTCTAACACTGAGCTAAATTCCCAACCCTTTACTTTAATTTGAATTTTGAGACAAGATCTCACCAAGTTGCTGAGTTTCCTAGGCTGGGCTTCACTCTACCAGCCTCCTGCCTCAGCCTCCCAGAGTGCCGAGATGACAGGTATACATCTGACTAAGGAAAGGGCTCTAAAAGCTCCACCCGGTCTCGGGTCATCTCCTCCTAAGCACACCAAGCCTGGAGCCCTCAGGCCTCCTGCTCCGGGCGCCAGCAGGAGGTGATGATAAGGCTGAGAGCTGGGTTGCTCTTTGCAGACCATGAGGCACACACACCTGCCTCCGCGGGCCGCGGATACCTGGGTACCTGAGCGCAAGGCACACAGAACACGAGAACCGTTGGATGAACTTGTTCCCTGGCAACGAATCTGTCCAGAAAAGCCCTGGTGTCTGCACCTAGCTCCGGAGCCAACAGCCTGTCTCTGGAGAAGGTTCAAACTGATGGCTGCAGACCAAGGCTGGTAGCCCACCATAAAGCATGGCCGGTGAGGGTCCCGGGTAGCAGGCAGACTGTCAGCTGTGCACGCTCGTCTCTGCCGTGTGGTGTGAAATAAGCCACAGGCAACATAAACTGGGCAGGCTGATGAAACTTTCTTTGCAGACACTGAGATTTGAGTTCTGTCATTTTCATATGTCCTGAGATAGGATTCATGTCACATAATATTCATTTGACCTTTTCCTTTTTTGTGTGTAGGGGTACTAGGAATCGAACTCAGGACCTTGCACTTGCTAGGCAGGCACTGTGCCACAGAACTATATCCCTGGCTCCTTGTTTATTTTTTTGAGATACAGTCTCACTATATAGTCTCACTATATGGCCTTGAACTTCCTATGTAGCCCAAGCAGTCCTCAAACTCAATAGAGATTCTGCTGCTCCAGCCTCCCGAGAGCTGGGATGATAGGGCATGGGCTACCAATCATGTACAGATATAAAAATCAAGCTTAGGTCAGAGTTCTAAAAACACAGGTGAGGGGCGGTACTTAGTTGACCTATTAGAGACGCTGGGTTCTATAACCAAAAGGTTCACATTGTGGTCAGGGCATCCAGGAGAAATGGGAAAACACTTACTCTCCTTATCTGTAGGATGAGTTCAATAAATTTAAATGTCTCCAATTAGTTATAAGGCTCATCACTTGTTCCTCTAAAATATGACCCCATGGTTGGCACTTCTCTCTGCCTCCGTCCCCAGTGCTGCCAGAGCGCCAGTTTCTAAAGCCCCTGTCCCTGCTCCTACTCCTGCAGTCCACAAGACCCTCTGAGAACAGCTTCTGTCCTAATGTCACACCTCAGCTCCAAGCCACCAGGGTTCCCATCACAGAGAATTAGAAAAAAAAAAAAACCACCAGTCTAGCCACCTCCTCAGGACCCCAAGGCCCAGGATGCCTGGCCCCATCTGCCTCAGGGCCTTGGCATGTCCATTTCTTCTTGCCTGCCTGTCCACCCTGCTCTTTAGGTTCCTCCTTGGCACGCAGGCCTTAGCCCCCGCCTCTCCGCCAGGCACCCAGGCCAGTTTGACTTTCTTCCCAGCAGTATGGCTCCCTGTTTATTCTCTTATTCGCACCTCCTCTTCCCTTCCCAATCAGGAATGTGACCTTCACAAGGACAGAGAACTAGCCTGCCACACCTGCCCTCCACCCTAGCCCCTGCTGCCTGTGAGCACCAGGGACACTATTTTTTTAGTTTAGTGTTGTTTTTTTTTTTCCCTAGGCCTGGGATGGAAGCTGGGACCTTGCATAGCTGGGTGAGTGCTCACCACTGAGCTCCCTCCTTGGCCCCCCCAGGAACTCAACTCTTACAGCCCAATGTGTATGGATTCGCTGGCGGGGAACGCGGCAATGGTGGGTGTCAAAGAGCAGCTTGGTGACACTGTGAGGAAGTCACTGCCTCCAGCTGGAGCAAGCATGAGTGACAGGGTGGGTGACGCCGCTTGGTGCACTGTGAGCCCACGTTCCAGGTGGGGAAACCTCACTAGACCAGAAAGACTGCACGTTGTGCAGATGCTCTCGCTTCTGCTTTGCTTTTTGAGACAGGCTGGAAGTCGCCATGCAGCCCAGGCTGACGTGCAACTTACGATGATTCTCCAGCCTCGGCCTCCCAGTGCTGGGATAATGCGCAGCTGCTTTGCTAAGGCTGTGGCCCTGGAAGGGTCAGGCTGCTGTTCCCTGCCCCACACTGGGTATGTGACAAAGACAGAGGAGGGCGTGTCTGCAGAGACGTCCTTTCTCAGGCCCACTGTGGCTCAGTCCACTATGAGACTGGGGGCTTCCTTTTGGCTCCCCCTCTCCCCCCAAAGCCAGCCAGCAGCAAGGCAGCTCCCCTGTTCCCCAGAGGCTGGAGTCTCCCAACTGTGAGCTGAGGCAGGAGGATTGCTGCGAATTTAAGGCCAGCCTGGACTATACAGCTCAAGGCCAGCCTGAACTACAGGACCTCGGCTCCAAAACCAGAGATGAATTGGAGCCCTAGTATCCAGCTTCTTGGATCTTTGTCATTGACCCTAAAGCCTAGCAAGCCCATCAATTTTTGAAGCCACTGGGCTCTCCTTCAATTCAAAAGGATAAAAATAAAGGCAAACGGTTAATTCTGAGGGCTGGGCAGGAAGTGACTAGCATTATAATGACAGCAGAGGCTAAAATGGTTTGAGCAATTCACAGGATCCGGCACAGCAATATGAAATTAAAATGATTCCTGCCCCTAGTTTAGATGAGATCAAACAGGTCCAGAGGCCTGGCATGGGTGACTACACACCTGCAATCCCAGCACTGGGGAGGCTGAGGCAGGATTGTTGCGAATTTGAGACCAGCCTGGGCTGCTACACAGTGAGCTCAAGGCCAGCCTGAACTGCATAGTGACACCTTGTTTGAAAGAGAGAAAACAAAGCCAGGTCTAGCAACTCTCCAGTGCATAAGCACACCTTGCCTGGTCAAATGACCCTCCAGGCTTGGGCCCTTCACCTATAAAAATTACTGGTGGGGAAAGGTGGCTGAGGCTATCAACAAGGCCAGATAATCAGTATCATACTTTTCTGATACCTCCCTAGGAAGAGCTGACAATCTTACTTAGAAACTTTTTTTTCTTTTTTTTTTTTTTTTTAAGTCTTTTGAGACAGAGGCTTGCTGGGTAGTCCAGGCTGGTCTTAAACTCACTGGGTAGCCCACCCTGGCCTCAAACCCATGGAGATGCTCCTACCTCAGCGTCCCAAGTGCTGAGATTATGGGTATGCACCATCATGCTCAATGACATAACTTTTATAAATTATTACTGAAACTGGATCTCCACCTATTTTAACCTTTGACTTTTCTCTTTTTTTGGTACTTAAGATTGAACTCAGGACCTTGTGCTTGCCAGGGAGGCACTTATGCCACTGCCTATCTCCCTGGCCCCTCTTCCTCTTTTAACTCTTTATTTATTTATTTATTTTTTTTTTTTTAGGCGGAACCGGGGATTGAACTCAGATCCTTGAGTTTGCCAGTCAAGCGCTTATCCTACTGAGCCATCTCCCTGGCCCCTCTCTTTTAACTTTAAAGGAGTCCTGGCTTCTCTCTTCTAAGAGGTCCTGGTACATGACACGACCACCAGCCTGATCTCAAATTCTTGGGGGAAAGCATTAACCAATCTTTTTCTTTGAGGTTTATTAACTGATTTAAAAGCAATGAGATAGTTTATACACCAGTGTCAAGCTCAAAGCCAGACAGAACAAGCAAAGCCGACTTCCCCGGATGGCAACTTAAAAGCAACAAAAGACAACCCCAAGCTGGCAGATCATGTTGTGTCGCCCAAGAAAGCAGTTGCAAAAATTTTCTGCTGACAAATGTGGACAACTTCCCCTCCCTTGAGGGTGGCACTGGGTCCAGCCACGTGGCTCTGTAGCCTAGTACCTCCTTACCACATGTGACCCAGTTGATAGGAACCTGACACAAAAACGTGTCTGGCCAGCAGCAGTGGTTTAAGGAATCTAAGAAACTTCCTCACTGGCTGCCTGCTTCTCTTTGCCCTTTGGGGGCTCGACAGCTGGGAAAAGTCAGCGGTGGAAGAACAAGCGCTTGAGACCGACCCGGGACCACACAAGAAAAAAGCTAGCCACACCGAGAGGAAAAAAAAAAAAAAATCAACTTTCAGTTCCTCAAAGTTTATCTCCTACGATCACCCCTCCCTGCCATGGGCTTCGATTTCTGCAAACTAATTCCTTCAGACTAAAGAAAGCCGAATCGGCCGCTGCCCCAGTTTTCCATGAAACTTGGTCGGCTCTTCTGTTTCCTCCCAGAGAAAAGGTGTAGCAATGGAGGACACCGCCAAGACTTAATCTACCAAACCACTTTTAGAGGCTGGAGATAAACAAGGGAGCCCTAGCAAAATTCCTGGACGCAATCAGGAGTCCTAGAAATACAGAAAAGGGGAGACTGCAATGATTCTCCCCACTTTACAGAGTGGAAAACTGAGGTCTTCAACAAGGTCCACACACTCACTCCTGCGGACAACGACGGGTTTCAGAAAGGACGGGAGGCAGGCACAGGAAACCTCCCACAGCTACAGGGACCGACCGGCGGCTGCCGCCCCACCCGGTTCCCGAGGGCAGCGGGAGGGGTGATGCCCCGCCCACCGCCATGGTCCCGCCCAGTGCCCCTCTTGCTCCTATTGGTCCAGCCTCTCCGGACCCGCCCCTCCGCAACTCCCGACATATAAAAGCCCCCCACCCCGGCCCGTAGACCTCCACTCTCCGCCGGCCTGCGAGCGCCCGCCCCTTGCGGGGGACGGGCCGTGGGGCTGGGGGGCGGGTAGTGTCGCCCCGCCGGGCCTCGGACCCCTCCCCCACGGTCCCGACAGTCACCGCCGCCATTTTGACCGCCCGCCCCTTCCCCCTGGACTGGGATTATACCCACATCCGCCGCCCGGACCTCACCGCTTGCCCTGGTCCCGTCAGCCGCCCAGGCTGCCTCGGTTACCTCGGCTTCTTCCCGCTTCTGTCCGCGGAATGGCTTTTCGGAGGCCTCAGTGGCGATGTAGGGAGGGGGACGATAAAGGCCAGGGTCCCCGGGCCAAGCCGGGGGGGTGGGGGTGGGGGTCTGTCGGGCGGTTGTTGTTGTTGACTCGCGTTGCCGGGTTGCTTGGTCGCCACGACTACCGTGGCTATGGCGCCTCCGTTTCCCTCACCGGGGCAACTGTTGCTACCCACCCTACTTACGTCACGCGTAGGGGGCGGGGCTCTCTTGATTGGAGGTGCCAGGAGAGCTGATTGGGTGGTGTCAAACCCTTCCGATATACTATTGGTCTCTACACACGCTTTTCAACAACCTCTTGATTTCCGGACGCTCTAATTCATCGATAGGAATGTCCATCAAAAGAAACTGGACTCTTAAAGGCAGCGGAGCCCGTCAGTCCCGCAAGGAAGCAGCGGGCTAATAATAAAGGGAGGGATCTCGGCGTGCAGGATGGGTTTGCAGCTGTAAAAGCAGCCTGTTGGTTTGACTAAACAGATGTCAATCTAGCCTAAAGGTTAATCGCACTCTGTGGTTGGTGGCCTTGTGCATGCGTTGCACGCAAGGTCTACTGGGAATTGTAGTCCGTTCCCACGTACTTTAAATGACATCAAATAAAAAGGCAAGAAAAGGGAGATCTCCAGACTTTTCCCTTGGTAGGTCTCTCGCAGTGACGTCACAGGAGGAATCCGGAGACTGGGGTCCTCTGTGACGTCAGTGGTAGGCGGGGCTTGCATTAGGTGACATCATGGGACATGCTACCACCGTCCCTCGTCCTGGGAAGGGCGGGAAGGTGGTTCAAGCCCGGTCCCTCCCCGCCCGTCGGGCCCGAAAGGTCATCTGTCTTCTTGAGCTGTGGCCGCTCTGACCGAAAGGTCTCCGAGGCCGGGTCGCGATCACCGCTGCCTCCGTGGCGATAAGCAAAGGTCAGCGACCGGCGCCTTCCGGTGCCTCAGTTTCCCTGGCGCACTCACCGCACGCAGCGAAGCTGAGCGCAAGTTCGAATGAGCTTCTTGAGTGCAGAAAGCCCTCAAGATAAATATTCTAATGCGGTATCTTCAAAATGTCAGAATTAATGAGAAAAATATGAATCATGAACAAAATATCAAAGTGTTAAATAAAGACACGATCCTGTTGCGCTGGGAGTAGGGCGCGGTGAGTTGGGCCAGCGCTGGGCAGAGCTCTTTTTTTTCTGTAAAAAAAAGTGTAATTTTTTGGGTCATTTTTCTAAATGAGATTATAGTTGCTCTTACAACTAGAGAAGATGAGTAACTATGTGAGATGATGAATATGTTAATTAGCTTTTTTGTAGTAACTATTTTGCTTTACGTGTGTATTTTATAACTATGTGTTGTATACCTTTAAAAATACACTCTGTGGGGGGGGGGGTACTGGGGATTAAGGCCAGGGCCTTTAAAAAAAAAAAAGACCAGGGCCTTTGCACCAGGCTACATCCAAAGCCCTTTTTTAAAATACTTTATTTATTTTTGTGGTGCCACGGTCTATACTTTATTTTGAGACAAGTCTTGCTAAACTGCTAAATTGCCCAGAATGGATTTAAACTTGCCATTCTCCTGGCTCAGCCTCCCAGAATGTTGAGTTTGCAGGGACATGCCAAAAAAAAGATTCTCTCTCTCTCTCTCTCTCTCTCTCTCTCTCTCTCTCTCTCTCTCCTTGGTGACCCGCCTCCCGGCCCCATGCCACTCTCCCAATCTGGGGACCTTACACTTGCCAGGCTGGTGCTTAAGCCAGCTGAGCTATCTCCCTGGCTCTTTGAAGTTGATTTTGTGTGTGTGTGTGTGTGGTTTGTTTTGGGTGTTTTGTTTTGTTTTTTGGAGATGGGGTTTCAGGCTGGCCTTGAACTCTTTGTAGCCCAGACCAGCCTCAACCTCTCCCTGAGTGCTGTGATTACAGTCGTGCACCACCACTCCTAGAGGAGTTTATTTTTTAAAATATATCTATTTTAGGCCAAGTGTGGTCCTGCACTCCTAGTAGTCTCAGCTACTTGGAAAGCTGAAGCAAAATGATCAAAAGTTTGAGGCCAGCTTGGGCAATATGGGGAGACCCTGTCTCAAAATAAAATACTGAGGAAACCAGGTGTGATGACACACATCTATCATCCCAGGACTCAGGGAGCTGAGGCAGGTGGATCTCCGCGAGCCTGAGGCCAGCCTGGGCTACGTAGTGAGTTCCTGGGCAGCCTAAATTAGAGTGAAAGCTTGTCTGGAAAACTAATAATAACAAAGAGCACTTGGCAAGCATGCACAAGGTGGTGCGTTCAATCCCCTTACCCCTTACCAAAAATAAAATAATGAGTATATATTTTAAATCTTTTGATAGTGCTGGAGATTGAACCCAGGGGATCACACATTTGTTCTACAGTGAAGCTGTACCACACACCTGGCCCCACCAAACGTTTCTCTTTGATGAAATGTGTTGATCAACATGTATTTTTATTTATTTATTTTTTTAATTTATTTATTTGTATGTATATGTATGTGTGTGTGTGTGTGTGTGTGTGTGTGGCCGGTTCGGCCCCCGGGGGGCGGTGCTGGCTGGCATGTGGTGCTGGGGGATTGAACCGCGGTCCCTGTGTTCTGCTAAGCTTGTTCTAAGTAGGTGCTTTAGACCACTGAGCCATCTCACCAGCCCCTCAACATGTATTTTTAGCGTCATCTTAAATTTTGTGCCCTTAGGCTGTGGTAGGGTATGCCAGTGTAATCCCAGCATTAAGGAGACTGAAGTAGGAGGATTACAGTGAGTTCAAGGCCAGCCTGGGCTACACAGCAAGAACCCCATCACAAACAAAACAACTCAATTTAAGGTCTCTAATTCTGGCTCTGCTAGATGACATCAAGTGGACTCCAGCTCTTTGAGCTTCCATTTTTTTTTTAAATGTTTCCTTTCTTTCTTTCTTTCTTTTTTTTTTTATGGTCAGCTCAGCCCACCCCAGGGGCGGGGCTGGCATGGCATGTGGTGCTGGGGATCAAACCGAGGTCCCTGCATGCTTGCCTAAGCAGGCGCTTTAGACCACTGAGCTATCTCGCCAGCCCTGAGCTTCCATTTTCTTTCTTTCTTTCTTTCTTTCTTTCTTTCTTTCTTTCTTTCTTTCTTTCTTTCTTTGCGGAACCGGGATTGAACTCAGGCCCTCGTGCTTGCTGGGCAAGGCACTTATGCTACTGAGCTCCCTCCCCGGCCCCTGAGCTTCCATTTTCTAAGTCAACCAACATTACACTTCCTTGGTGTAAGCTCCTCGGTTGTAAAAGTGAGAAAAACGGACAAGTCTTTTCCCTTCTTGATCTAGTAGAAGGAACATAATCAGTAGACAGTGACATTAATCAATACTATCAATCAATATATGTAGGTACAATGGTGCAGGACTGTAATATCAGGTACTCAGGAGGCTGAGGCAGGATGTCAAGTTTGAGGTCAGTTAGTTTAGTGTGACTGCGTCTCAAAATCAAAAACCATTGAGGTTTTCCTTGGTAAATAGATGCAGCTAGAGACCATACTCTCAAGTGAAATAAATCAGACCTGTAGGTGCAAATATCATACTGTCTCACTAATGTAAGAACATAAAAGAGTAAATAAGATCTGAAAGGTACAATCAAAAAAAGTAAAAAAGGGGCCAGGAGATAGCTCAGTAAAATAAGCTGAGTTCAATCCCTGGTTCCGCCCCCCCCAAAAAAATAATAAAACATTATGGAGGGGCTGGTGAGATGGCTCAGTGGTCTAAAGCACCTACTTAGAACAAGCTTAGCAAAGCACAGGGACCGCGGTTCAATCCCCCAGTACCACATGCCAGCCAGACCCATCCCCTGGTGGGCTGAGCTGGCCACACACACACACACACACACACACACACTAAATAAAAAAAAAAAATTAAAAAACATTATGGAGGTGTAGCTCAGTGGTAGAATGTACCTGGGTCCAATTCTCAGTGCTTCAAGAAGAAAAGGATTAGTCCCTACAAGCTGGGGACAGGGCCTACTTTGCCAGGGTAAAGGGAAGGGCAGAGGCCATGCGGGGAGGGGGCATAGATGCTAAAGATGAGATCTGAGGGGTCAACATGGCTGGATGCTTCTGTAGCAGGCCAGCAGCCCACCCAGTGAAACATCCCCTCACTTGACAGCTGGGTAAGTGGAGGCTGGCAGCAAGGGAAGCTCTGGAATAAGGTCCCCTCCCAGCAGACCAGCTCTGGGGTCTTCCCAGTGCCCCAGGTTGGAGCTGCTATTGCAGTCCCATCTCTCTGGGAAATGCCAGCCCTGGCCAGCCCCCCAAGGCTGCCACACCAGAGGTGCCAGGGTAAGCCTAGCTGGTGGGCAAGGCAGCAGTGTCCACAGCTTCTCCCTGAGATGGTTCAGGGGCCCAGGACCAGCCAGCCATGGGGTCCTCATTGTGCAGGGGCTGGGGGAGCCCTCGAAGCCCTACTGTCACATTCCACCCATTTCCCTCCTCCAGAAGGCCCTGAGCCCTACAGTAGGTGCAGCCAGCCTTGCAGAGAATTTCTTTCATCCAAAAATCACTGATAAAGATGTGGTGGGGCACATCAGTAATCCTGGCACTTTGGGAATTTAACATCTTTCCAAGACTCAGTCTCAAAATGTGAAAAGGGGGCAGAGGATGGTATCTGGGGTTGTAGCTCAGAGAACAGTGTCTGGGGGTGAAAGTCTTGGGTTCAATCTTCAAGTATAGGAAGACAAAGAATTGACAAGAAAAAAGCAGGCCTCGCGGCAGTGAGTAGCAGCAGAGGCAGGAATAGCCAGGCCTTTACCTGGTGCTGTTTACTTGCAGATGTAAAGGTAAAAACTCACTGAGCCCTTTAAGATTTGTGTGTTGTATGTATGCTATTTTTTCCCTTGGAAAATTAAATGGCCCAACATGGTGGTACCTGCCTGTGATCCCTGCTCCCCCAGAAGGCTGAGCGGCAGGATTGCTAGAGCCCAGGAATTGAAGACCTAGGCCACACAGCAAGACCCATCTCAAAATCAACCAATAACAGCTTTTAAAAGTCCACATGCATGGCCGGGGAGATAGTTTGGTGACCTATGCACCTACCCAGCAAGCGCAAGGACCCAGGTGCCACATGCCATGCCAGTTGCTGAAATCGGGTCACACTCTTCTAATCCTAGCGCTAGGAAGGCTGAGACAGGAGGATCACTATAGTCTGAGCTGCGTAGTGCGACCCTGTACAAAATACAGGCATTTATTATGCCATCAGAACTAGCTCTTGGCCAATTCTTTCCTGGAATTATTATTACTACTGTTATTATTATTTTGGTTTTCTGAGACATGAGCCTTGCATATGTAGTCCAGGCTGATTTTTTTTTTTTTTTTTTTTTTTTTTGTACTGGGGATTGAACTCAGGACCTTGCGCCTGCCAGGCAAGTGCTTACTCTACTGAGCTATCTCCCCGGTCCCCTCCAGGCTGATCTTGAACTCACTGTGTAGCCCAGGTTGGCCTTGAACTTCTGCTTCAGCCTCCCACGCAATGAGATACAGACGTGCGCCATCATGCTCAGCGAAGCACTGGTAGTTAAAAGGTAAAGAGCTGAGAGGGTAACTCAGTGTAGAATTCTTGCCTGGTGTATCCGTGGCCTGGGTTCACTTCCCAACATCACAAGAGAAAGGGAGGGAGTGAGGGAGGGAGGGAAGAGGGAAGGAAGGAAGGAAGGAAGTTGTGGAAGGACGCCTGTAATCCCAGCACTCGGGAGGGTGAGGCAGGAGGACCACTGTGAGATTGAGGTCAGCCTGGTCTATAGAATGAGAGACCCTGTCTCAAAATTTAAAACAAGTTGCCACTTTGCAAAATGCAAGTAGATATCTTCCAACAGCACTTTCCTCTCTGGTGCTGTAATGTGTGGGGTAAAGCGACAGGGACAGTGGGGAAAGACACTGGGCACATCAGGTGTGAGCTGTGGGAGGG